TTTTTAAATATTTTCAGACTTTCATATGATTCAACTATCAATCAGGTTAATCCATCTGCGTTCTCGTCTCAATTAACCAGCATCCATAACACCGATTTAAGTTATCCAGTAAGCTCGGAAAATGAGCAATACAAATCGGTTGGTCCTGCGTATCCTTCAGAAAGATCCTTTGGCCCATTAGAGTTTCCGGGATTAGCATCTTCTTCGTATCCATCATTTACGTCATACGGGTTAAGGCCGGGATCATATGGATATGGAGGGTCAAACGGATTAGCGGGATCGTATTATGGATTGTCTGGATCATATGGGTTATCAGAATCATCTGGYTCAAACTCAGCWATTCCAACATCTTATTCCAGTTCTATCCCTTGTCAAGGTGGCATCGCCCAACAAATAATTCATAAGCCTGTCGTTACAGAATTACAAGAAGTTATTCACAAACCAATAATTACAGAAGTACAAGAAATTGTAAATAAACCCGTTATCTCGGAATTMCAACAAGTCATACATAAACCACTCTTCACTGAACATATTGGTCTCGGTCCATCGTATCACGGATATCAAAAACACACCGTTAACCAACCTATCTACCATAAGCCCACTAAACATTTTGTTCGTCATCCAGTATATCATGCGGCAACCATTCACTTAGCCGATGAATATGAACAGCATGTCAGTAATGGTAACAGTGTTTGTGAATCAGACACRGGTCCTTCATACGGTTTTTCGGGATCGTCGTATCCTATTGGATACGGGCCAGGAATCAACGTTGGACAACCAGGTGGACAGTACAAATCAGTAGAGTCCAGAAATAGTGTTGCACCTTATGAACCAGTTTATTCATCGGGTTTATCTACATCAGATTCGTCGAGTTACTCATCATCACGTGCATCAACTCCATACGGTTTTCCTTCAATGTCTTCCGCTACAGATTTATACAGATACGCCGCTCCCGGTTCAGTTGGATACTCTCCACCAACTTCTTCATTTAAATATTCATCGTCATTGCCGGCATACAATGAATTAGGATCAACGAATCGTGGAACACCTTATGAACAACAGATTGCCACTTTCAATACTGGTAATAATGGACCCTTCAGAAGTATTATGGGAAGTTCACAACCTAAAGCTGCAGAACAGATTATTTACGATAAGTTCTCACCATATACACAAAAATTAAATGACAACCAACAATATTATGATAACCTTCAGTTTCAACAACGATTCTCAGAATCTCAACAACAAATGGGAAGGAGCAACGAAGACCCAAAACAAATAAAAATGGATGTGGACGCTATCGCCAAACAAATTGAGAAAAACCCTGAAATGAGGAGACAACTATTAAAAATTATAACAGAGAGTATTTACGTTGGCGACCAAATGACACAATCCAATAAGAAACAACAAGATACGAAAATGCAATCGTTTCCAYTAATATAAAATGATAYAGCTGATGTTTATTATAAGGAAAATTATTATTTTAGTTATTCATAAAAAAAATATATATATAATAAATTGACCACATTTTAAACATACTTTTTTAATATTTACACTAAGATTAAACTAAAATTTTTAATGCGTATAGATTAAGAAGYAGATACTTACATTCTGAACCAATTTACCAACAGTTGGTGATCATCTTTGCTTAATTGAGCAGTATAGTTCAATAAATGTGCAAATATTGGTGCACTTGATTGAGTTCCAAAAACAGGACATTGAAGTAATACAAATAAAGCTCTGA